GTTAAGAGAGGCTACAGGAGTGCAACTGATGGCAATGTGTGAGCTACACAAATTGAAAATCGTGGGAGGATGAGAAAAACGTAAGCTCAACACCAAGCTAGTAATGGTGGGGAATGGGAGGTTTGCTCTGTGCATGCGGATACGCAGTGGGTCTCCATCTGTGCCAAGAACACTTCAGGACTCCAAATTTGGCTCCCTTCCCAACAGCACATACATCGAGAAGAGGAAAGCTAGCCAAGTTTTAATAAAGTTCTGTATCCAGAGGTGGCTGGCAAAAGAAGAGATTAAAGTATTAGGAGTGCAATGAAAACAAAGACATTAGAGAGTTGAAAGCTGGAGTACCTGGGCAAACCACTTGCTGAGTGAATATTCCACAATCATCAGAAGGAAGCCCTGGGTGTTTTGAATAGGATGAAATGTGAACCCATGGACCAGAACTTGTCTTCTTCCAGCTTTGGCTATCACTGTGGCAAGTACGTAATATCCTAATGCCTAGCTGAGCTGGTAGGATAAATGTAATCATTCCCCTTGGAGATACTGCTAGCAGAGGGCTCGTTAGCTGGCAGAAAGGCCAACAGCTGCAAACTGTTTATGTATGACAACTTTTTGGATGAATCTAAGTTTATACAGTTGCCTGTGTCCTAAGGTTTGCTGTAGAAGGGCAGATAGCTTTGTGTGTTCAAACCCAAGCACGGACGTTTTGGGCTGTAATTATGCAATTTCTCATGAAGGAAAGGAAAAAAACATCACAGTTGGTAATAGCAAAAATGGTAATTGACTTTCCTTTCCCTCTACTGATGCTCCTGCTTGACCTTTTTTGATATTAAAAATAGATTTGTGGTAACGGCTGGCAGTTAGAGGTGTATCTGGAAAGATAAGGACTTTTTTTACCTGAAGAAAGCCATTCTGTGCACGGGCACAGGAAAAGCGTGGGTTTTTTTTTAAAAAAAAAACCAAACAAACCACTTCAACTTTCTTCCCTATTTTTCAAATTCACACACCTGTCTCCTAGACAGGGCCAGAAGCAAAATTACCAAATAAGAGAAGTTCCTTTTACATTGTTTCCAGCCTGGTAGAACTGCAGCAAGCCAGGATTTTCACAAACATGTCTGAATTCTTGGAATTTTCTATTCCAGTTCTGCAGACTTGAAAGGCTCAGATAAAAATCTGGAATTTTAAGAGGCAAACAGCAGTTTTCATTCATCTCCATAAAGAAAATAAATCATATTAACGCAGCTACCAAGGCATTCTACTAATAGAATTGTCCGTTAAAGGTGTATTTTTCTCTCATATCAATTAAATTGATCATTGGATTGGGTTACAAAAAAGTTGCATTTATCTTATAAATATCTTATATCTTATCTTCAGATATATTTGCTAAAGAGCTGTACTATGTTTGCAGATCAGTAGCATATTTGCTGTTTATGTGCTAATGAAAGAATTAATGGTTAAATCTATGGGTCCATAAGAAAATTATAGTCTTAGGAAATAGTTTGATAGAAAATATGTATTTCAAAAACATTTTTGAGGCAAGCTTTTTCAGGCTTAAAATGTTACAACGATTTGTTATAACTGGCTTGCTGTTCCAGAATGACTTATTAATAAGCACTCGGCAGTTAATGAGCTGGACTTCACACTGAGTTCATTTCATGTACCGCAAAGTTTCTGCTGTCTGCTCTCCTAGGATTATGAGTGTCCCGGCCCAGTCCACTTCTGTTCTTAAATTTTCTGATCCCTGGACTCCACTGCCACAGAAGTCTTTAATAATTGTAACAATAAACTAATTTTAGATGTCTACATTTTTAAATTGGTCATTGCATGTATTATAAAATGACCACACAGAATTCACATTGAACATTTAAAATAACTAATAAAAATGACGAAGAGTCTGTAACTGAGGCACAGTCACTTCTTTTTTAGCCACTGGTGGATGTACAAGTCCTTAATCGTTAGTTTTCCAGCTTTGAATAACGAGGCTTTTGGCACCAAGCAGTCTTATTGCCAGTCAGTTTCAGTGGGTATTAGAACCACTAAACAAAGACTTCAGAAGAATTACCACCTGAGGTAATGTATTTGACATTTCAATTGATATTTAACCTCTTTTAATATATTGACCGAACTCTAGACTGTTTTGCTAGACCACATCTCCCAAACATGGAAATATTGCCCCTTTCCATCTCCAAGAGACAGCAAACATTGACTCAGCCTCATGTTATGAAATTTTTCAGAAGGAAATTAGCATGAATCATTTCAAGCTAAACTGGCTTGCCTGATTGACCGCTGAGCTCAAGGTGCAGTACTGGTTTGTTGCTTCTAGTTAAAACCTCCTGTGTCAGATACAACTGAGAAATGTATTGGCACTGGTGAAATGGAAGAGAAAGGCGGAATAATCAGGTTTAGTCGTGGGAATAAAACACTTTCAGTAAAAATTCTGCTGTGGTCATTGCTGTTAGCTGTACCTAAAACTGTTGAAAGGTAACCAAAATATCCCTCCCTATTGAGTAGAAGTGTATTTCACCTGAGTTCCGTCAGTTTACTGCAGAGCTATGTTTGCCTCATCCCCAAAAGGTAGAAGGATCTCCCGGAGCAACTTTTGAGGAGATGGTGGTTGTGCCATAGGGTCATGGCACACCACTGCGACAGAGCCTGGGCTGGGTAAGCTACTGAGTGAAGGCGAAGTCAGCAGCCCTCCCTTGTCTTCCTCTCTCACAGCTGGTGACCGGGATTACCAGCAGCTGATGGGCCATCACAGTTTCGTCTGATGTGGCAACACAGTATGCCCCAGTGGAGAGGCAGCTGTGGAATGGATTAGTTGTTTGGCATGAAGCATCCTTCCTTCCAAGTACCCTGTTTCATGTGTGCACTCTGGGAGAGGATTCAAGAACCCAAAGATGTACAAAGGCACGAATCTAAAGAAGCAGAAGGTTGGCTGAGTGACCTAATTGTTCCTTTTAATCTCTAACTTCTGTGATTCAAATATTCAATTTTTGCTTCGCTTTAACCAAAATCTGGCAGTTCCTCTTAATCTCAGACCTTCTGCTATTGGTTTTACAATAAACTAACATTTTCCCAAACAGTATTTTCCTTCTGCCAAAAGGGTTCCCAGAAATTGCTGATCCCACATAGGGTTGGAAGAAAAAGGCTGTTATTGGTGAGAGTATTATTGTTTGTAAGTTGCCTTAAGGGTGCACGGAAGCAGATATAAATCAGGAGAAATATCTACTTCCCTTTCAGAAATCAACAGGAATGTTTTGTGATCTTTGAAAGAAACAGAAGGCGTGTTCATAGCCCAAGAAACACTACGGACACCTACAGCTGAGATTCTGTTCTATGGCCCGTTCATTAGGCCATCAGGTGTGTGGCCTGAGGTTGCAGTCTCTTTCTCAAAGTAACATATTACTTCCTGAGCAATTCCTTGACATCCTTGTGACTATTCCATGAGTAAAAAGCAAGGCAGTTTAAGAGGAGTGCTGAAATCCAGCCTTCTGTGGTTATTGATTTAAAAAGGTTAAATCTTGATTTCATTTTTTGTGTGGTATGCAAATCGGTGCTTTGCTAGGTACGAATCTCGCCTTCCGCAGTAAGCAAACGTTAGTGTCTGATTTCTGCACTGCCTTCACGCTCTGCTGCTAGTGCTGAGTTAAAAGGCTATTGCCCATCCCTTCATTCCATCCAGAATTCCCTTGGCAACAAATATCCATATCCATATTGTTGGCAAAACTCATAAAAACAGAACTGGACTTCTTCCAGGTCTAAAGTTTTACACCATTTGGAGGGGGGAAAAAAAAAAAAGAGATCATGTCTCCATTGCATGGTTGTGGTCTACTCATTCAAGGCAGCTAGATCCGAGCTACCCCTCAGTGAGAACAGTATTGCAGCGAGGAAATAGATTTCTTGTTTTCTGTTAAATATAAGCAAGTACATGTGCTGTGAAAAAAATGAAAGGCATTTGTGGAAGATCCTTACACTCCCCCTTCTTCCAGCATGGGAAAAGGATGTGTGAAGTGGCAGGATGCACTCAGCATTTAGGTTGCTGCGTTGAAATTGTGGTTTGTGTGCACACTCCAACTGTTTGTGTGCTCATTTGGCAGTGGAGGACTTGTAGGAATAGAGACATCCTTAGGCTCAGGCTCTGCTTTTAACCTTTGTGCATAACTCCCAATGGCTTAACTGTGGTTTCTAGGTGGCAGATGAAACAAAATCTTGTCAGCAAATTGTCCTGTGTGTGGCCTGTGGTGCCATCAGAATGTTTCCAAATACAATGGCACTTTCTACAGTAGACAGTCGGGCTGCGGGAAGGGCATATGAGGACTATTGTTTTTCCATAGCAGAAGTTTCGTACAGTGATTTCCGAATTCCTTTTTTACTTCAGCCTACGACCATTTGTGGTGCCCACACAAACAGACCTAGAGAGTACTGAGCATGGGATCAAATCCTAAATTCCACTAAGTCATAGAAGGCTTCTGCCACCTACATTGGCTTTGTGACTCACCATCAGGAGTCTGCCAGCTTTTCTGACTCTGCCACTCTTCTCTAAGTATGAAAATAAGGGGAAATGTAAGATCTTTTCAGAGAGTTTCTGCTTTTACTGTTTTATTCCCTCTCCCGAACTTTATTCTGAAAATCAGGAGAACTCCATTTAAATGCTTGTTAAGGCTACTTCACTGCATCTTCTAACATTGTGGTAGGGAGCATTAATAGACAAGCTTAGATGAATTTTTGGGTCAGTGAAATACATTTTTGAGACTGTGAAATATATTTTCCAATGAAAGCAGAGAAGGTGAGTGTGTTTAACTTGTTTCCTGCCTGACAAAATTCTAGACTGATTTTTCAACAGCATGATGAACAAAATACTCAGATAATTTTGTGTGCAAACTGCTCTAATATTTTTCACACTGGGCACGTTTTTTATCATTTTGGTTGAGTAACTGCTGTATGTTTTGAGTGAATGAGCTGTTTCACTGATTCTGATGAGAACATTCTCTGTGTTTCTGTTGCAGGAATTGCTTACCTGGGAGGTGTCTGCAGTGCCAAGAGAAAGTGTGTTCTTGCTGAAGACAATGGTCTCAATCTGGCGTTTACAATTGCACATGAACTTGGGCACAAGTAAGAACTTGTCCTTCTGTTTGTTTCTTTACTGATGCCACTGTAGCATACTTTTATTTAAAGCCATACAAGTGAAATTACTAGTGTGGCATGCTTGTTATGATTTCATAAATCTAGCAGATTGATAAATAACTTAATTTTTAGGAGACATTTAAATATTCATTTCAGCACACATAAACCTTTCTGTTTGATTCTCCCTTATTTTCTACTCTGTATTTTGATTTCGAGTAGCACAAAAAGGCCTTATTCTGTTAAATGATTGATGGTAGTAGTTAGAGACAAATTTATGCTGTAGAATAGGTCCACAAAATCAGCATCAACTTCAAAATCTTTGAACTTGCGAAGTTTTTTCTGAAGTTCAGGTGTCTATGTCAAGGATTTTAATAGTTAAATACTTTGGTAATGGTTTCATCTCTGCCTGTGAAGTAATCTACTGTGGCTGAAATTGTAAACATTGGTATTTTGGAAATGCCCTGAAGCAATATTATTTGATCAACAGAAAGAAATCACATAACTTGATTTATCAGCTCAATCACAGCTAACTAACACACTTTGAACACTGACTGGAAAAAAACAGCAAAAAATGTGATAATTCCTCATCAGAGAGAAATTTGCAGAATGAGATAACCGGGTACTTTCTGCAGATGCCTTTGAAGACTTTCTAAAGCTGCCTGTAAATATCCCATAGACAGAAGAAAACAAAATTGACTGGAAGGGTCGCTTACTGTGGCTAATGAGTTAACCCAAAAGTCAGCATCTGCATCCACTGCTTTCCAGGCTAAGCGTAATATGCACTTGCTCATAATACGAGCTTTTTCCCTTTCCGTTGGCATCACTCTTGCTGCACTGTGTCACAGTTAGGCTGTGGAAGGGATAGAATTAGACGAGGAAGACATTTATACAGGGGCTAGGGCTGTGCCTGTGAGATTTGCAAGCACTCCTTCCTTTCGCCTCTCTGGATGGAAGGTCGGAAGTCTCACCATTGTTCCTTCAGTAAGAAGCTGTGCATAAATTTTGTCTGCGCCCTTCTGGACTCCTATTGTTTATGTGTCTATTGTATCTTCCTTTCCTACAGCAACCAAGTATTTGACAGCTAAATCAGGGCCAATGTATCATGTTGAGATTCTGGCCAATCTTGTTCCATGACAAATAATTATTTTATGGCAATGTATTTCAAAGTTGCATGGAGGATATTTAGGTTATTACCAAAAATGACAAGATGAAAATTAATCTCCTGTTCACCCGCCAGTGACACCAAAGGCAGCTGAGCCAAACCGAGGGTGGTTTCAGCAGAAATGAAGGACATTTGGTTTTGGTTTTATTTAAATTCCATGCCAAGATGTTAAACTGAGCCTAAACTTAATAACAAATTAACCCGTGGGTAATGCTAAGGGAAATTCAGCACTCATCTTTGGATGGGCCAAGAGCAGGAGGGAAAAATACTTGAGCTGCAGAAAATCCAGCTGTGTAAAAGAGTGAGACTGGTCTGCCCTGGTGTTTGCCAAGTTTCCCAGAGAACTGTCAAGCTTCCTTCTAATAATGCCTTGCAAAAAAATCCACAGCATAAGTAGGGGATGTAATGCTTTCAGATACAGCTCTCCATCTGTTCAGAAAATGGCAAACTCCATTTTCTTTTCTGAGTGCAATTTCGGTGGTAAGACCGTAATGTCCTTTCTCTGCTGGTTTTCTCTCTTTGCCTCCGTCTTGGAAAACTATGTCAAGAGGTGGATATGAAACGTCTAAAGGAGTTGACAGAGGGTGGCTTGGGTTCCATGCCTGGGAGAATTTCGACAGTGAGTGTGCTGATGTGCAGAGAGTCTTCTGCTTCAGCAGTCATAGATCCCGTCGTGAGGAGAGATGGAGAGCTTAAATGAAGATTGCAGGTGAAGAAGGACAAATGACAAAGGAGACTGCGTTTTCTAATAGAGCTGCCTCATGAGCCCCTTTACTGAGAGAGAAGGGACTAGAACGTGCTCAGGCGAGAGAGACTGGGAAGAGTACTTGAGTATTGGAGAGGTTTGGAGGGTCTGTAAGAGCCAGTCTGGAGACCTAAGGTGTCTGGGGAATGTAGGTCTCAGAAGGCACGTGAGCTGGGAAGGCTCCAAATGTGGCAGCCAGCTGGGTTAAGTTAGAGAAGCTGCTGGCAGGATTCTGCAGCCACAGGTGTTTTGGGGACCTGTTTCACAGTGAGTCACAATTCTCTGTCACACACTGGAGCGAGCTCTTCAGCCCTCTGCCCTCTCTTCTCTGGCTTAATCCCAGCCATAAGCATGTGTAATCAAACCCCAGTGTGCCAAATCAAAACAAAGGCAAAAAATGCCATCTATCTCTTATCATCTAACCTGAGCACCAAAATCATCCCTCTATACTGTCACCCACCAGTGGCTTGTTTCAAAGTCTGGTCAATTTACTGGTGCCTTTCTGGTATTGAAGTCAACAGGAGTCTTTTCATTGACCTTACTATGTATCAGACCTCTCCTTATTTGTCTGGTTTTGAACTGCAACAAGATGTTCTGAGCAGTCCTGTTTCAGCACATCTTGTGCAAATAGAAGGATTGTTTGCACACTTTACCTACAAACTTGTAGTTTTTAAGTGACTGTGAAATGTAAGAAAACACGTTGCAGAGATGAAGACAAAGAAGCTGACATGAGCTTCAGGTTTAAAAATGAAAACCAAGGAAAACTTGCACTAACTAGGTGCAAGTTTCTTAATTTAAAAAAAAAATCCAATCAAAACTTACATCCATATTGGAAAAAAATATAAATTTTGGAGAGCCATAACTGTGGGCTTTATTGAAGACTGATTTCCTTATGAGTGTAGAAAAGTTGAGATTTATTACTTCTTGCCCTAAGACTAACAAATGTCTATGGAGCTCACAAGCTCAGTTTGGCATTCACAGATAGTTTCTGATGTAGACTTTGGAAAAAGTGAATGGATTACTAATTGTGTCAGATTCCTAATCTGTCACGAATGTCATTTGGACTCACTGCAAAAGATGCTATTACGGACAGCTGCACTGAGAAAACATGGAGACATCATTAAATAGGTTCTTTAGGGTGATGCTTATAGTTTGACTTCGGGTTTAACCTATCAAGTTGTTGTTGCTTGACGGTGGGGTGACTGATAGAACTTTTGTCTGTTGTATTTATATCTTCAAATCTGGAGGGATAATTTTGGTCCATGAACACAAAGGGAGCACCCATTTGTATTTAAATACAGTTTTTCCTACAAAGAGTCCCGGAGGAAAATCTCGTTGTTACAAAAAGATAACAGGCAGGGTAGAGACCACGGAATATGTGGTGAGGCTGTGAATCATAAACTTCTTACCATACAAGAAGGGACCCTCAGCAAGTGTTGTTCCTTTATTCAGCATGGTCAATAGTGGATGTCTTTCAAAATAACACACTTCAATATAACCACAGTTAGTTTGTTCTTATTCAGGGATTGCTGGGTGGAGTACTGTGTTCTGACCTACACAAAGCAGAGATCACAGTGGTCCCTGAAGTCATAAAAAGTGTAAGTCCAAGGCCTTCATATTATAAATAGCTTAATATGCTGAGCACTTTCTTACTCTCATCTTTCCTCAGACTAGCAGGGCAACTCCATCAGTAAGAGCTTGAAAATGCCCTGCTGTTGTCAACAGGATCCTGAATGGTGCTTCCTTCCTCCTCCGTAAACTACACCAGTGTGAAGTTGATCTGAGATTCATACCCGAAAGACCACCCTGAACAACTGTGGCTTTTAGAAAAATAGTGCCACTTCCCCCTCCCCTTGTTCTCTTGTTGCCTACAGCAGTGACATTGTTACCATTTTCAAGTCATTCTCCAAACAAAAAGGAAAATAAGATTTTTAAACAAAAGCTGGGATTCATCCTTATATCCGTTATCCCCTATATGAAGCGGGTGGGCTGTAGCCAGTGGTTTTTCAGGACAACAATGCCAGCTTTGTTGCCATTCCTGTTTCTTTCAACAGCCTCAGCTTTCCCGTTGTGGGATGGGGGGCAGGCTTGGGTGAGGAGGGAACATTCCCATTCATGAGCTAGCGGAACCTGGCACTGCCTAGATGGTGAGAGAATAGCCGGAGGTGGTATGGCTGGAAGCCACGCCGTGTCAGATGCCCTTAAGAAGTGAATCAAAATCAACTGACAATAAGCAAGATGCAGCCCGTTGCCAACAGTCTGAAACCACATGGCCTCAAATTTGAAGCTGAAACAGATGAGGACAAAAACAAGTCCAAAGGTAAAAAGCCCGTAGTGCATAAACCAAACTGCTCTGGATTTAGAATCAGAGGAGAGAAGAGTTTAGAACTGGCAGGTTTCTGCCCAGTATGATTGTTTGCTTTAGATGTTAAGTGTTGATAGATGTAGCTGGGTTAAAATTACTTTAGGGTGCGTAATTATTTGCTGCGTGATTATGCATGGCCTTTGTGGTGTGTCTCGAGCAGTAGAGGTGTTGCAGGTAAGGGAAAAGCCTCCCTGGATGTTCCCTTTGTGGCCTGATACTTACACTAATAAATAGTGAATAAACTTACTTCCCTGATCTGTCTAGTGCAGCACCCAGCAGGGAGATTGTTACGCAAATACTTGTAAGGCAGAAGGTGAAAACATTGCAGGCTGGAGGGGAATGTGTCTTGGGCAGATCCAAAAGGTCCAGAATAGCGTCCTGTGGCACTCACACTGGCAAAGGCAGGTCGTTGTGGTGCAGGCATACGAGCTTAACTCCTAAGAACCAAACAGGAAATGAACAGGCCCCCTTCTCCCCTGCCCTGCCGTTTATAAAGATTTGGTCATAATGCATTTTAAAAATGAAAAGTTTCATGTGGAAGCTGAGGGCCACCAGAGTAAACGGGTCACTGATCTGAGCAGTCAGGTAGCGCTGCAGAGCACACGCTGTGTTGATACAAACAAGTTTCTTTTTCTTAAGCAGTCTGTTTCGTGATTCCAGTCAGCTCCGTGCTGGCAGCAATGGAGCCAGCCTCCAGACCATGGTAGTGGCATGAA